TTTACGAAGAAAGTTGTCCCACAAAGCAAACTGGCACATGTCCTTGATGATCCCGCAGGGCACACATCTTCGGCTCAGAGTTGAAAACTTAATTTTATAATATGGTATAGTTTTGGGGAGCCTACATTTGTGAGTTTCTACTGCTCAACCAAGAAAATTCTTGGAGATCCCTAAAGGTCACGATGCGATTGGACGAGAGATATCCAAAGAACCGTAAGAAGACTAAAATCCCAAATGTTTAGCATACACGGGATTGTGCAAGATTGAGAAAATGAGGGCGTGGAGTCAACATTGTCGTTTGTGGGCGTTCAACGAAACTACGGGGTCAGGCCATGACATATGGGATATTCAGGAAGTTTGAGCAATGAAGCGACAGCCACCTCCTGTCAAGAATAACCAATGTCTTCCTTTACAGCTGATGGGATCCCGTGTAGGCCGAGGATTGGGATATCCGCCTAACGGGCTGAATCATAATGAGCTCCAAAAAGACTTTTACGTGAAGCTGAAAAAGGTGTGATCTAGGAACAATAATTCTCGAAAACCAAAAACACACGTCGACAGGCATCCGTGTAACCTGCGCATAAGGTGTTATTTATGTTCTTCCTGACCTAAAGTGGCTACAATGACATTAGTGGCTGGCGGGACAGCTGATCTGTTGGCGAATGCGTCAATCTGGAATCGCGCACCAGTTGACGCGTCAAGTAGGGGAATGCAGTGACTTAAGCACCCACCGGTAGTTGTCTCTTCTGTAAGGCCTCACCATTTCCTGACTTGTTTGTGTGGAGAAAATTAGGGAGCTAACACTTGAGAGCAGCACTTCCCGAAATTCGGTGGATGGTTATTTCAAAATCGTAACTTCGCATTAGCGTTGGTTTAAGTTTAACTTGGTGAAATACCAGAGGAAGATACCTTTGGATTTGAATCGGGAATCCGTATGCTATAGCTTCTTATGGGCTGCTCTGCTCATTTCCCACCCAAACCGGACTCTTCCTGGCTGAATTCTAACACAGACCATCTGCATCTTCTGCTTGTAGGAGCGCTTTTATTATGCGAGAATCTCCGCGGGTGTTGTGAGTTTAATTAACGTTTGCGTGGTTAAAGTGGCACACTTTGGGGTGTTTAAGTGCTTTGATTTCTGGTAGTAGAACAAAAAAGCCATCAGTCGCCAACACAAAGGCTGTGGGCGACTGGTGCTCAGAAGACGGCGTTTAACGAGGTTCCCGTAGCATCACAGTTCCTTAACCCTTCATTAGTATACTAGGCAAAAAGGACTGACAGAACCTTGGCTCACATTTTCGCCTGCGAGAGAAGACGCGGCTCAAAGGTAGGCGAACACTGATTTTTGAGTACTCTTTCCATGGTCAGCTCAGACCACTGACAAGTAAACGGGGCTTACTTGCGTTCAGGTACCGCAATTCCAAAAGCCCTTCCAGCTCCACCTTGGTGCGGCCATGCTTTTCCTAGGGTCTTTGTGGGTCGAACAGTACCCTCTAGAAGGCGTCTACATGCACGTCAGTTTGCGTTTCTCACAGAATTCGGCACTAGAGATACGGCGGCCAGGGATGTTCTCGGTAAAAAACCGTCTGTAAACCATTAGAAATGGAAATTGCACACAGCCACATTGCCATTCGAAAATGGTGAAACGAGGTGAGGAATACATAGTGTATCCCAATCGAATTTCTTAAAAACAAACGCTTTCCAGGAGAAAATTTTGGGAAGACCAAACACACTCAAGTGGTACTAAAAAACAAACCTAAAAACCAATGCTGAAAGAATATTCAAATCCTCACATTGGCGAAGGGAATAATCGGTCGGCGCGCATATCGAAGTTGCCTATTTTTCAGCCCATTTCTAAGAAATAGCTGTACACAATTATAGCGCAAGCTAATCTTGGTACTGTAGAACGCGCACAAATCAGATGTAAAAGCAAATACAGACTGATGAGATGGGAAGGGATCCAACCAAATGGCACGCATGTACACTGCGATGGGAAGGTGGGCGAAGATTGTCGAGAGAATGCGGGCGCGTGTGAGTCATGAGTAGGTAGGTGGCGTGTATACAACAATTATAGAGAGTAGAGATAAGATTACAAGGGGTGGTGGCAAGTGCCACGGCACTATGGCTGTTGGGGCTGGGATGTGATTTGGATATCGGTAGTCTGGGCGTGGGGAGAGACACGGCCGCTGGAGCGCTTCGAACGAGTCATTGTGGCCGTCAATGGGCCCTCGCCAGTTGCACCGGTGTCCGGGTTTCGGGGGCCATCGGCGGCAGCAACAGCGGTGGTGGAGCTGGTCGCCAAACGATTTTCCTCTGGCACCACGCCGCTCCCGCCGGATTCGACCATTTGGTTGTAGTGCTCGGGAATTAACTTAGCGATTAACTCGGGATTTGCTTGCTTCTCTAAAAAACGAACAGTTGCGTGACTATGCAAGTTAAAATTCTACATGAAATTCCAAAAGTATGAGATTTTAAGGTCAATGCTTTTCAAGCCAAGTATGCAAAAAGTGCAACAAAGACAATGTTTACGCAAATTCAAAAGGTCTTTCGATAGTGTAAATATACCAAGATGATGTCAGTGAATGTGTGCCTCTAGGGAAAGAATCGAATTAGGTCTGAAAGACACAACTAAACCTAAGCCGATACGTTGTTTTTATCTACCTTCCGCTCTCGCAACCAACTGGACACAAGACTATCATCGCCTCAAGTAATGCTTAGTTAATAACCATATTTCCTCCAGAATATGAATACCAGCGCGAGAATATGACCAAGAGACGTTGCGTGGCATTAATCTGATGTCATGCGTAAGGCAAACACCGACAAGATAGCGCGGAAACTATAGTGCAGGGAAATACACAAGCTGTGGAAATAATTTAAACCCTGAACTAGCAAAAGCCTATGGTTTTTGTGTAGCATTTTGGTTGGCTGGAAGGTGAGTTTTGACAATCGTGATGGCACTAGCCAAGAAAGGGGGAAAAGAAATGACTGACTTCAGGAAATAATCACACTCACCTGAACCGGTGGGTACCATGGCAAAGAAACATGGGAATCATGCACTTTTGACAACTTGAATGATTGCCTCGACTTGTGAAGTCCTACCAGAAAACGCTTGATCACCAATGCAAGACACGCTTCACTGATTATTCGAATCAAGTGCCAAGTTGAAATAGTTGGATAAACTTAATAATTAGCACAACCAGTTGTGTGACTAAAAACAGCTTTCATTCCACTTAGCACACTCTCCATGTGCTACTGAGGATCGCATGGAGGCTTAAAGATACGATGCAGTGAATAGTGCCCCAACGCACAGAAAGAGTGACCAGACACGACGGGCCACTACGAAGTCCTAATGACTAACTGATAAGCAACTCTGATCAGCACAGAAAAGCACGAATGCATTACAAAAACTCAGGTCTGAAGTTAAGCCTACGTCACTATTTCACATCAAAAAGGCTTAGGCAAAATTTAATTGTGCACAACCTGGGACGGGATAATTCCGAAAAGCACTGGGCGTAATTAGTGTTGGCCCTTCACATTGAGTTAGGCAAAGTAAATCAGTCTGTAATGTTTGCGGCTCACTTTCAAGGCACGGATGAAAAGAAAGTGACTAGTTGCAACATTGGAGGGAATCCCCAATGCGAAACTGATCACCACAACGTGCAGTCAATCGCGCTGATTCGCGCGAATCCACTGTGTCGCCGCGTTCTCCGACTCACTGCCCTCCTTTTATAGCGGGCCAGTTAGTCATGAGGGACAGTCCACGCATACACCGAGGGCATGTACCACCCCCGTTACCCGTTTTACTCAGCTGACCATTCAGACATTTGCATTTTTACTTGTTCACCCCGCCCCCCCAATCCTAAGACTCTATTAATCAACAACCACGTTTGCCATGCACTACCTTGAATACGCGCACTTGACAAAACGGATAGGTTGGGCTGTCTGGTAAACGGTCACGTCGCTCCCGCCCCCTGGTCTTCTTGGGTAGCTGAGTGGCGCAATCGGGCCAATTCCACACAGCGTCCCCGGCGTGGCTTGAGACCACATGCCGGGGCCTGCAATAAACGAAAGTCTATACCACTATTTTCTCACTTATCATGTCACTGAATGAAACCGTCAAAATACATAGCAACGCATGGACCCTTCTACGTCATCGTGAACAGGTTCAAAGACTTGACTAAAATGCTTGAATTACGGCAAAGGGTTAGCGCAGGAAGGAGGGGAGTTCTTTCAGATTTGGGGTTCGTTGTCGTCTGTCTGAACCGGCAACACCGAGCTCAAGCGTGGGAGATAAAAAGGTTCCACACTGACAGGTATTTCAAAGTTGATAGTTTCTGAGGATGCTTGTATTTGGAACTCGGCCATTTTTAAGGCCACACCAGACAGGTTTTTTCCCTTAAATTTATCTGCTGTCGTAACTAAACTTTTAACTATGGCTTATCATTTTGGATAACGTTCAAAACATTTGGACTCCAGAGCTGTATTGCGGTTTCTAAGTGACCGATCTCGGCACATGTGACTGACTAAAAGAACACAAGTGTGGCAAACAAGCATAGTTTACCCAGAGACATCGATCGGTCTTCCTAATTTTCCATGGTAAGCAACAAGGTATCCAGTTTGGGGAATTCAAATCACCAGTAATGTGGTTCTGCAGCACACATCGGGACACTACGGTAGCGTAAATAAAAAAAACTGAATAGAAGGAGCAGAACCCATGATAGGAAGGGGCTTAAAAAGGAAAGAAAGTTTGTTTTGTAAAACATGTGAGGCCAGTGAAAAACGGCGCACACAACAAACGCTACAAAGGGAATGTGTTACCTTGACAAACGAAAGGCACACAATTATACACCAGACCAAATGAGTCAAAAATAAGCCATATTCAAGAGGTAAAATGGACAAAACAGTTTTAAAAACAACTATTGAAAATAGGTGTCCTTAAAAACCACTAAGCTTCTCCTAAGATAGGTGGTTGTGCGGTATCAGAAGTGCACAGCATTCGAAATCTAACATCCGGTGCCACTTAGAGGTGTACAAAGAAGCAGAATCAGAGGGAGAGATGGCGGAATGCTGTGCTTACCATTGCCACTGAAGTTGAAAAGCGGAGGGAGCGAACTTTTGTCTGGCAGGGTGGCACCCTCCTGTCGAAGTTCATCGAAGAACGGATGGAGACAAGCTTCGAGGGGCTTCAAACGCTTAGACGCCGTGTAATCAAGCAACTTCGTAACCAACTGGATGGCGTCAGGGGGGGTGTGAGCCCGGAACACCTGCAGCGACAACAAAATACGCAACAATATAGCGACACGGGAGACGTTTGTCTGCAATACATTTCACAGACAGTCTCTTTTCCAGCTAGTTCACATAGACGCCGTGAAGAAAAACGAATAATAATCGATCGAGGTTTGCTTTCGTGCAAGCATTAAAAGGCTCCCGGTAAATACTATTTCTTATGAATCGTGTTTATTCACACACCTTAATCCGGTCGGTACGTTTTCCGACATAGGGTTCCCTTCTCGCAGCACGTCGCCAGCCGCGAGGATTCTCAACTTCCTCCTCATTCGCACGAACATTTATCCTGGATTATCCTCACACTTACGTCTCGATGTTAGCGCATGTATGATTCACACATCTGAGGTATAAATACACACGCGCAAGCGCCACACACGACACAATGACCCCAACGTGGTTGAGCTCCGAAGTAAACGGTTGTTTCCACGTCCTCTCTGGTCTTTTCTTCATCAGAGAGGCATAATCGGACCAGAGTTTGTTCAGTGGCCCCGGCGTGGTTCAAGACCACATGCTGGGACTCACAACATACTCGACAAATCGGAAACAACCGCTTTTGGGAGCATCAACAGAAGGAGCGATTGAGGGGAAAGGGAAAGTCAGGAGACACGCCAACCGCGATGCTACTCAACAATTCGCATTAAAAACGGAGACGTGCCACTAAGACGAGACTTAACACGAATAAGTTGTGTAGCGCTTTTGAACGGAAATTAAAAAGGGAAGTAATTGACCTGCGCTCTATGACCTTCCACTGTGTTGGCGTGTGATGCAGGCTCCCATTTGTCATGTTACCTTGTGACAACGTAAATTCACACAACCGCCACGTCGTGATGACTTCGCCTCGTATGCCCACAACTCTGCATTGGATTGATAATTCTTTTTTCCGAGGTAGTTCCAACACACGACATTTAAGACTAATTAATCGGCTTCACGGCTAGTTAGTTGAACCTCGTAAATGGTCAACCACGAGGAAGAGTGCTGTGAAAATGCAGGTCAGAAACTCGATCGCGCGGGGAGCTAGTAGCTTACCTTGGGCCAGGGGTGAGCCTTGATCTGTGGGAACTTGAACTCGCGGTAATCGGGGTTCATGTCACGAATCTGCTCATGAGAAGGAGTACCAAGCACCTTGATGATTTCTACCAGTTGATCAACACCGCTCTCACCGGGGAAGATGGGCTGACCTAGAAGCAGCTCTGCAAACACACAACCCGCTGACCACACGTCTAAAACAAACAAAAGGCGGTCCACTAGCATATGCATGCGCCGTGCGCAATCGAGAGATTACTCTGGTGCAAATGGGCTACAGAAAAAAACGTGCTTCGTCAGGAAAACCAGCTGAAACGTCTAGTGGCACTTGCAATTAGAGAATAATTTGGCACGTCCCATGTCTTAGGTTACTTCTGTAGTAGCTACCAGACGCTGTGATACGATGACATACAAATCGCCAACATGTCTCCTTAAAGAATGCATGGAATAACATGAACAAAAAGTCAAAATTCGAACACTTTAACAACGAAACCATGACAGAGGTTATTTCTGAATGGGAAATCAATTTACGGAAGCCAAAAATTAACCCTAAACTCATGGGAAATGGGTGCAAACGTTACTTAGATTACTCACCGTCGGTAGTGTTACCCGAAAAGACACACTTCACGTCAGTTAAGGCACATTCCTCATCAAATACATCTAGGACTACTCGGCAATCTAGGCGCAGATGTGTTCTGCTAATACCAAACATCAACGGATTAGACACACATAACACACAAATAACACTTGGGGCGACGGATCAGCTCGCTCGGAAAGTCGGGCAGTTTAAAGTGGCTGCCCATCAATAGCGTTCTTGACCAATAAGCGAGCGAACGTGCGTGACGATCAATAAAAGCCAGAACTACTTATTATCAATTAGTACTAATAGTAGAACAATTACTCAGTAAAAGACTCGAGCATTTCAAGATTGCACCTTTAATTCGTAATACCGATTTTGATGAGAAGAAAATAATACCACCTACAACCAGTCACCTCGTGAAATAAGAGGGGAATTTAGATATTGGACCTCTTAATAGGACAGGTCACAATCAAATCTCATGAAAGCGAATACACACAGGAGGGCATTTCCCCGACTAGAAAAAATGCCATTATTAGCGGGCAACACAAACATGTCATTGAAAAGTGAATTTAAGCAACAGGTAAAATGTTTGAAATAATGGTTGCTTTTGTAGTGAAGAATGCGTTGATACAAAAAGGGACTTAGAAAAAAATTGTGGTTGAAATTCACAACGGGTGAAAATTTACTTACCTCAGGCATCATTCATATTTTTCGTTAAGAAAAAACGGAATGACACAACTAAAAGAAAGCGTGGAGGAACTAAAAACCACCGAATTGTGAATGCCACCGAAACGGCGCGAGCGCGCCTGACATGAGACCCGCCCCCCAACCCGGCTCACTGTGCACTGCCAAACACCTCCTTTGAGGGACGAACTCCTGCAACAGACCGCACTCATACTGTGCTGACGAATGTCTAAAACACTCAATGCAATTCAAGAGAGGAAAGGCAGGTAATAAGGAAGATTGTTTACAGGGAATCAGACAAGCAAATCGCCGATAAGTTGTTCGACCACGTGTTCGGCGACTCCCGCAGATTTAATGCAGTTTAACGTTGTAACCAAAAAAAAAGAAAAATAACTGTCAACACGTCAGAAAAAAAATACGCAAGGGTTAGAATCCACGACGACCTTCACTACCGGGTTGTTGCGTCGATAACGGGACCGCCTAAAATGTTTTGTTCGACGACCAATTCTTGAGCACACTATGGCCCATGGAGTAGGTACCTAACGTTTCACAAATACTAAGGCATCAATTAGTCACAAAATCGCAATTGTGGGTTGCTTTCAACAAACACCAAAAGTGTGCTTGAAATGCTTACGAGATTTTACTCGTGCGGCTAGGAGGCACTTGGTATATAATAAGGAATGGTCACTAGCACACATGTAGAGTCACTTGGGGGCAAATGGGCGCACACCAGTGCAAGCACAATACGAGCACCCGGGAGTGGAGTTCGAGGGTGGCAGTGCGTCGCCATCATGCACAAGGCCACGACAGACACACTGCAGTTAGATTGAAATTGAGGAAAAAGAGGACACAAGAAGCAATGGGGTGGAGGCACGAGCCAAACAACAAACAGAGCACCTACCTGGTCGTGAATCATTGTGGCAACAAAAAACTTATTCAAAGACGCAAAATTCCTCACAACGCACCCCCTTGATACATTATCCTGTTTTATAAAATGGCGACCAAATCGCGCTGGCGGCTTACTTACGATTGTTCATCCCACTGTGGTTGTTGAAAACAATTGACACAAGCAAGAAGTGACAGCCATAGGGAAGGGCTAAGAAATCCTTGTGAAGGCAAGGTCTCTTGACTACATTGCTGTTAGGGCGTAGCAACCACTACAGGTTATAAATGCGGTGAAAGCCACACGTAAGGGGTGAATAACAATGTAAAAATACACTAAGATTAGAAAGTCATTTGAGAAAAAAAACATTGCACATTCAGAGTACTAAAACAACAATATGCACAACAATTTCAAATATGCAAGAAAACTAATAATGTATACCCTTGCTAAAGACGAGCGTGGGATAAATTTGAAATACAAACTAAGTACAAGTAGCTGAGGTTGTAAAACCACAAGGAGTAGTAATTAATAACATCCAGAAATGCTATTCACTATAAAAAAAGCATCACTTAAATCAAGAGTAGACTAAAACATCCATCTCGGCTTCTGCATCTTGCACATACTTCACGGCCCGCATGTATTAAATAAAGATTACGTAGTAGGGCGCTGTCAATAAAATGAAACACGAAGGCATCATCTGAACGAGCTTTGCCTCATTAGAGATGTCCTTGTTGCCGGTTCCGATTAACTAGCCTGGACCTCAACTATACACAGCTGCGAAGGTACACTCTGGATTAAAAAGCCCGATTTCATGCAATGAAACCACTTGGCATTAACTGGAGGTGGATGCGAATCGAGGCTCAACCAAGCCATGCTTTTTCAAGTAGGAAAGAATAACAATGGCAAAACATGATAAACAAAGGAATAGGTTAGCAGAAAATTGGAATTGAGCAGAGACACAAGAGACCATGAAACTAACCAATCTGGCAGGTGTAGTTAACTGCGCCGAATATGAGTTCAGGTGCGCGGTAGTAGCGAGAACAAATGTAGGATACGTTGGGCTCACCCTGGACCAGCACTTTGGCGCTAAAAGGAGGAATATTACTGAGAGTCGACAACCACTGCAATGCACGATTTCTGATAGAGACAATCACCTCGGTGTGATCCTAGCTTTAATGATTTTGTTGGGTGCACACAAAGATGCGCATGTAGACGCGTTAGACAACAAATTCAGTGACCATTTAAACTGCTTTGAATGGGGATCAGAAGCTAAAAAACGGGCATAAATTCATCGAATCACAAACGCATAACATGGTCCACCTGTCCTACAGTCTGAAAGCAATGCAATAAGAACGAGGCGCACAACGTTCGCATTGTGGCAAACAATCATGAAAACATGACCATGGTAAGTCAACGCCGCACATATATTTACTTATTTTTAGAAATGTATTTCAACGGCTAGAATATTTGCGAGACTCGAGTACCGATAGCTGAATTACAAATCGACAAGTACACATGAGAAGGTGCATTTTGAATTTAAGAAAAAAGCCGCTTTAGTTGAAAAAATTATGATCAAGCGTGTCTAACAAGCGCATTTTCAGCTGGATCTAATCATTTGGCTAGGCCATGACGAAACGAGTTCCTTTATCGCGAGGCATCTCGTAGGGAATACAGCCGACGTTAGTCTTTCATGCGGCAGACAAGGAAAAATGACTGTAGCCTGCGTCAAAGCGGACATATAGAGATAAAATTGGTAAAACTGGAGAAATTACGAAGTGTAGCATTACGAGACACGGTGTCACATCTACCATCCCAGGTTTTATAACGATGGTTCAGTCTGGTCAAGTAAATCCACTCATAAATAAGTAGTTGAAAATGACATAACATCGAGCAGCACAAAAAATTATAGTACCAACTCCTTGCAAGGAAACCACGCCTAATAGCACGCAGTTAATACATCTACCATTTCGGTAAAACAAGACAAATCCAAACACGAAACTAAGTTTTGAGTCAAAATAAGATGTACAAGCAGCACAATGTGTTAAAGATAGTACACATCAATAGCGTTGGCGCGTACTCCCCTTAGTTAAGCGGTGTAACGTAATGGGTACTGAAATAACGGCCAAACAGAGAGTAGGGAATAGTTTCTTTTGTAAGAAATCCGATACACATTACTTTGCTTCCCCACAGTTCATAAAACAAATTTCGTCACTTTATGAAGGGAATCTCAATTTCAAACCTACGAATGACCAAATATACGACACAACGGACATTGTGGACAGAAAAGAAACATGAAATTAGTATTACACACAGCATAGGCAATAAAGTGGCTACACTCAAATTTCACACCGTCTCTGCGTGGATTATGTTTGACAGATATTTATTAAATTGAATGCATTATAGTACCAAAATGTCACATCCTTAAAACACGCATGACTATCCAACAAGTACATAAAACTGCTAAATTTAGCTAAAAGTTCATTTACATATCTAGACAAAAATGTCTGTTGACATTAAACACCACTAATGGGAAGTTATTCTAGGCAATGAAAGAACAAGACACTAGGGACTTGGAAGGATCAGCGACGGGCTTTTAGAAGGCACAGCATCCCATTTTAAAAATACGGGACGCCACACAAACGAGAAACAGGTTTTCATAACAAGCAGCATCCAACAGCGAGTCCCAAGGACACCTTAATCCACTTCAAAACCAATTGTTGCTTCGTTTTCACCAGTTATAGGTAGCTCAGGTCTTGAGGAGGCGGTCTTTTTAAATATCCCGATGGTCGGGACTAAGCTATCTCTTAATTTGGCAATAAGCGCAAACGGCAGTGTGTAGATTGGTGTGGCACGAGAGCAATTTTGGCGCAGAATGAAGCATAAATTACCTTTTATGTTTGTGAAACAACACTCTACAAAAAAAGTACCTGCCGAAGTCACAAAGCTTAAGAATTCCAGTGGATGGATCGAGGAGGAGGTTTTGAGGCTTGATGTCTCGATGACAAATGCCCTTGCTGTGAATGTAGGCGAGACTGCGAAATAACTGGTACATGTACAACTATAATGGAAAAGCAGCATAGTGTAAAAGTAATAAACAATCGCTGTGGCCATGTCTTAGCAAAAGCTAGCACTTGCAATGTGCAACCAAAAGTAATAAAGGGAAAGCAATGATTAAAAAAACACTAATTGGCTGGACAATGGGACATGTCGGAAACTCCAGTTTATTTGGACGCAACAGAAATTTGATTTTTTCAAACTTATAATAAGATCGATTAGAAACAAGGATACCTACCACATTTCAAACGGAAAATAAGGCCAAATTACAACAAATGGCAAGTTTACAACCTTGCTTACCACATGACTGCGTGCTTACAGGCATATAAATCAGAAAATGAACGAAATCCTGGGAAAGAGACGCCAACCAAGGGCTTTATGGCCAAAAAGTGAAACATCTCCGAGGCTAAATACCGACACACCACAGTACATTGTGGACCCACGTGTCCAAAAACAAGACCACTCTGAGACTGAATACATCATTAATCTGTCTTTACCTATACGTAATGGTGGAAATCATTTGTCAGTGAGTAAAGGGCATGAATGACGCTTACTTTAGCAAAAATCATCGGAATTGTCTCCTTCTGCCGAGAGTACCGACGTGCAACTCTGTAAACAGTTTCAGGAACAAACTCCAGTACTAGGTTCAAATAAACGTCTTCTTTCTGCCAAAAGGAAATGCAAGACATCCATAATTCTCAAAAATGAACCGGGTCAGAACTGCGCACTTTACATTCTTGCTGCAAACATTAATGATTTTTTGCGTAAAATTTTCCTGATTTTACATTCTGTAATAAGTAAAGGAATGACGGCAATGATTAGTGTATTGAGGATGGCAAACCACGAAAAAGCAAATGAATACTAAAACGTTACTAGGGGAACTTAAGCAGGACTGTTTGTTGTCGCGAAAGGACCCAAACTACAAGTGACCTTGCACTTTTACTCAATTAGATTTGCCAATGTTATCATTTGAATTGGTGAGGCGTGATCTCATGACTAAAGTTGCCATGTTTGAGGAATAGATTTAACCCTGAGTTGGTTCCTAAAGGATAATTCGTACTTCAAAATTATTTCTGGGCAAAAATGTGAATTTATGATGATTTAAACTCATGCATTGGCGAAACAAATAAAAGCGCATTATAGAGAGCTGATGCGTCCATTTTAAATCTCTTAGGCATAAGTCGTTTCTTAAATCAATATATTTAACGGGCTACAGACGCTATATTTGCCAAAAGTACTCAGTACGCATTAAATTCGGTCCAGTGAAGAAAATAGTAGCATTCGTACGTTTGGGTTTCTAAGTTTAAACAACATAACTCAAGACAGTAAATGCAAAAGAGTGTTGCTAACAGCATGTCCGAGAATGTTTTACCTAACGTCCAGTTAGTAAAAACGGTTCAGACTTGATAAATAACGAATGTGCATACTAGACCTCTTCAAAACATGACATATCACGTAAATAGTTCCCAGGTTTAAATAAATTAGATTATTCTTCACAGACCGCGCACTTCGTCACATCATTAGCACAAAAATCAGTAGTTGCACAAAGTTTGCAAAAAGTGTATAAATTATGTTACTGGTTAAACACAATGCCCAGAAAATTAATGTGAAACTAAGACACCAAGAAAACTGTAGACTTCCAAGGCGGTCCGAGGAGCAAAATGCCTGTCTCGACGAACAGAATTGAGATGCAGATTTCCTAATATAAGACTTTTTCAGAATCTGCCACAAATTTTTTTAGTCTAGATTAACAAAAATCGAGAAACTTAGCAGTAAAAATATAAGAAAACACAACCTAAGGGAACATTTTATCTTTGATATGACATCCTAATTTGGCATGACAAGTTGACAAGCTTGACGGCCATTAAAACACTAGAAAATCCACCATAGTCATGCGACAAACGAATATTTGGCAAACATGACACTAGCGGGTCAGGGTCACCGATAAACCCAACTGCATGAAGCCATTAATTTGCAATTCCCATGAGAAATCCCATGGCGTAACAAATATCCTAGGATAAATTGGCGAACAAAAACCTACCCTTTCGCCCATGACGTAGAAGAAATACTTGAGTTTAACTATATTCTGATGATCGAGTGACCGCATAATCTGCAGCTCGCGATTCTATAACATAAAATCGAATAAGCCTCAAGTTAGTATGTTTTATGCCAAAACAATGCATAATTTGTCATGTCTACACTACAACAAAATATTTCAGAGAAATTACATGGTCATTTTCGAACAAGTGTCGGGGGTTTGCAGCAGAAAAATAACGAAAATATCAGCATAAAGCTAATTAAGGGCCCAACACGAGGAAGTCGAAAATTCATGAAAAATTCGGGGATTCAAACACATCACCTAGGAGAAAAGCAAACGTACACCTTTGAATCACGATCGATGTATATTTGAGGAAAATGGGGATAAACGCGTACAACACATTAGGTAGCATCGTATGAGGAGCGAAATTATTACTGAAACCAATCGAAATTATAAAAAGAATTTGTTTTCAAACAGTCAATTTTGCAGAAAATACACTTAGACGCATAATCTCCATGGAAGAAAAAGTATGCATTTCTACAAGATGTCTGCCACTTCAATTAAATAAAAATAATGGTATTGTCATTTCTCAAGCAGTGTGCAAACAACAAACCAGAAACATAGCAAAATTTACTGTAGACAACATGAGGCAAAGCAAGGTGGCAATGGTAAAATGGGAAGGAAAAACAGGTCTCATGCAAAGAATATAAAGTTACACAGAAGAATGTAATCACACAGTTGCATTCAGGCAATTATAAAAACAATAAAGTAAAGGCAACCATAAGGATGAACTATTAGGTCGGTGAAAGTATAAAAAATGATAGATAAGACATTGAAATACATAAAAAAAAGGAAAAACCACAAATGATATGACAGTTGAAAATACTAGGGAAAACCGTTAATATAACACTATAACTTCGAACAATCACTTTAAAAAAAATATGTGAAGTACACTATCCAGCGGATAATTACCGAAATCGAAATATTGAGAATTTCAAACACAAACCTTGAATCGCCGATCTTGCAGAACTTTTTTGACAGCAACGACTTCATTCGTATCGCATAAACACGCCTGATAGACAACACCAAAGGAGCCATTTCCCACGACTTTGATATCTGTATAAGATATTTCTTGCGTCTTCTCACCGCGGCCCAATGTAGCGAGGACTGTAACAACCTTATTTGTGTCCTTTGCTAAAACGCAAATTACAAATTGCTGAAGAATAAACACAAAAAGAATATGCTAACTCCATCAAAAACGAGAGAGTATGGTCCAAAGAAGCATAAGTGAGAGAAAAAACATAGAAACTAGTTAGCAAATTCCATTATTTTCGAGCCATCTCACATTAAGAACTAAGGAGTCGCGAGTTGGCCCTAGGAAAGTGATACCGAGAAAGCAAGTAACATCGACTCATCAAAAAGCTCAGTAGGGCTCAATACAAGTTCAAAGCTACAGCAAACACATACAAAAACACCATGGTGAATGTATTACAAGAAGTGTCAAGAACATGACCTTTGTTCAAAGAATATTGGAAATACGCTCAAATGATGATGACAAAGAATGAGATAGTTTAATTGGACAGCGATGTTTACGCAGAAAGTGCGAAAATATACAACAAATAATTCCGCAAGTAAAACAGCAAAAAAAAGTCACAAAATCAATCACACACGCCAAGTAAGGAACTCACAATTCATCACAGAGGCATAATTACAAAACAATAACACCCGCTCCTAGGTTAAAGTCGGTGATTACGTCACTTAATTAAATAAAACAACCATGCAAAATCAAGTATTAATGTGATAACGAAAAAACGTTTGCAGTTTATGTTTGCAAAAAGTGTTGTTTATTGACCTTTCTAAAATTAAACCTTTGTATCAATAAAATCACAAAATAACTGCAGGACACTGACGCGTTTAAATTTTACCTAATTTAATCAATCTTGCTAGATATTCACAACTTAAAAAAGCGTGAATGCGTTTTTCGAATTTTATTCATGCCCATTTTTACTTACGTTTCTTTGTATCTATGTGAAACATGCATAAGCCGCAAATTTTTATAACTGTTTTAAATGAATATCACTAAACTTTTAAAGCCCATTAGTTAATAAGCAAATCGGAATCGAAGGTAAATTCTTCCCTCCATGCGGAATTGCTTACATAGGCATTACTTCACAAATTCAGTTAGAGTTGGAATATTGTTAACTTCTTAAAATGTTTTACCGGATGCAGGCCACTTTCTCAAAGTTTAAGATAATCTAAATTGGAAAATGAGGGAACATAAATAAGAAAATGGATATATAAGAACCACTTTATTGTAAGCTTCTCTGTATCCGGGACCCACTCATAACTTACACTTGGTATCACTATATCTTCGGCAGATTAGTACAGTGTGGTTGCAGCGTGGCTTAAACATGGCAGCCCGAACGTTTATTATAGATGTCAATTATAATTGCATAAGCTAGTTCGCTAATCCGACGACCATTGAAATACAGGGTTGCGAGTTTCTCAAACATAAATTTTCCAGATTCTGATAATCGAACGTGTTTTGAACAGTTTAATGTGATAAATTTATAATAAATGTGTCATAAATATATTAAATTCGCTTTTTAATGTAGCATTTTCATGAATTACGTTAGAGTATGTTATTTGCAAGAAATTATATACTATATTTTGCTTGCGTTTTTTTAAACAAAATGAAATGATACAGTTGATCTAAAAATCTGGCATGCCTTTGGGTATCAATTAATTCGAAAAAAATAGTAGGTATTAAAATAAAGGTAAAGAGAATTATTTGGGATTCACGTTACCGATATAATAATGAGGACGAAATAATTTAAAATGACACAATTCATTTTTGCCAATTGAAAAAAGCAGAATACTGAGTATTTTGAAATAAATGGATTGCTATTATAATAATTAAACATCCCTGTTATAGTTTAATGACTGACCGTCACAAATATACACATAATTTGTACAAAATATACCAGAGGAATATTAATCGTGCTGGCACTTAACTAGGATTTCTTCTGTTGAAAAAATAAACAATAAGTCAGGCAATTTTTTAGACCAGATGTGTTCAAATATAACTTGGTGTGACTGAAAATATGTTCAACTTAACACCTTGTGTTGATGGCACAGAAATTCTTGGTTAGTTGAAAGCATTTGATCAACATATGAAAAAATTTGAAAAATAGGTAGTTAGCGAATCTTTAGTTTTGTAACAAATTTGAGTGAGCCAAAATTTACTAGACAGGGAATTGATGACCTCTAATACACTATGGGGGTCGACCCATCACGTGATGAAACATATGTATTCAAGGCCAGTTGTTAATAACCTTTCTTAAAAGTCTTTTTGAAGTGTAATTTGGCTGCTGAAAATTCTCAGTAGATTGTACTAGCTATGTTGCTGCAAATGGATAAGTCACTTGACAGATATTAGTTTAAATCAACCACTTAAATTAATCACATCAGCTGTACCCAATTACTTTGAGATCCATCGATGTATCTTTTGTTATTCCCGTGCGTAGTTTTATAACGTAGTTTTAGGCCGTAGTTTATTGAGATCTTATTCGTGTCGAACCCAAAACGTTTAATATTTATCATTATTGTTGGACGCTTTTTAGTATTCAATTAGTTTCAAAGCCACATGCTCAGGACAATTTATCTGTTTCACATTCTTTTGCTCTTGATTTAATTTTGTCTTTTTTAAATAAATCTAAATCTTATGTACTAAAGACCAGTACTTTCTATTTTTAGAAAAATCGGCTAATCAATATGCCATTTCTTAGTCCTGACTGGAGATGTCCAGGTGAAAAGTGGATAAGATCCTCGGACGGTGTCACAACCTGGGAAAATGCTAAACACTGGAGGGAAAGGGTTTTCGCAAATATGAATGCTGCTGCCTTGAGAAGGTTAACTTATCGTCATACTTATTTCGTAGAATTTACCGCCAATCACTGACGGATGACCGTTTCACAACTGAAGATTTTGAATCAATACTGGCGAATATCGTTTGCTTCCAGCCACACATTCGACTAAACCTTAACAGCACCCGTGAAATTGCAAATGTTAGCACAATAACAGACGCATTACTAAAATTAGATATGAAGTCTGCTATAAAAGACATTCGACGATTCAACTATGTGTGCAAGGTAATTGATGCACTTTCTATATTACGTAGTTGGTTCGCCGATTGTTGGATGAAAGGCTGCACAGCCTTGGGGGCCGCTCTCAATTGTATATAATTGAACTATTGAAAGTAATCATGCACCAAGGTAATTTACGAGTTTTTTTACTCTGTTCAGTACTTGGAAGTTCAAACCAGACCTTGATTTTTCGACAGCTTCTTGCTACACTTAGAGCGAATTTGCAACGTCACGAATATGATCACATCGGCAGCTCTCAACTGTGGGCATGTCATTGGGATTCCCTTAATAAAATGGAATCTGCTCTCAACAACTTTGATATAAATCAGGTTATTATTTTACTTTAAGGTGAAAACGTTTTCATTTTAAGTTATTCTCCAGATTATTTTTGCGTTTCATAATACCGACTATAGGTAAGCCTTAGCGTAATATTTGTTGCTTTCCAAAACCATTTACTTCTGACGTTGATCGAAATATTGTACATGCATATTTTAGCGGTAAACTATGTTAGTCCTGTGTGATTGTTGTTATGTGCATATATATTTCATATAAAAATAGTAGAATAAATGTTAACAAATGTTTTGAATGACAAGTAAACCTTATTTTACAGAAAAGCAGACCTTATATTTGGTTTTATTTGTTTTAACTTTTTTTGCTTAAGGTTTTGCGTTTCCCATCGTTTTTTACTAATTTCACATGCATAGGCTCTTCCTGGATCTTCTAACAACTCTTCCGCAAGGCTCGTGCGCAATTCGAGTTCGCTAGCTGAGTCTTCGGGAAGCACCTCTGTGGCCTCATTGGAGAGTCTGCCGTTCGAATGTCTCAAACGAATAATCGCAAACATCAACTCCCCAGATGACCTTGAATCGGCTTCTATTGCATCTCCCACGTTAGCTCTAATCATAAACGACGAGCTCTTGTGGAAAAGTTTAACGATACGCAACTTTACACCTAACCAAATCATGTCAGTGCAATGTGGCCGAAGTAGTTGGAAACCTACTCTGGATGTGTTTGAATCTGGCGTTAGAGAATGCAATTGGCGCCGAGCCTATATTCGACTTCTCCGGCGCTACGGTGAACAGCAGATCTATTCAGCCTGCCTTGGAATCTGTGAAAATTGTTCTTGTCTCTTTTGGATGGTCAGTTGATATGCAGTCTATTCTATCAAACTGTTCGTGTTATAAAATAGCTTATTTCATCTAGGCAATACTTGTATTCATCAGTACTTGTAGCATGTAGTGTAAAAGTAGTTAAATGTCCTTTATTTTAAAAGTAATATGACGGGTCCCTTGATGTATCTGTTGTTATATTGCTGTTTTTAAATACCATTGCTTTCCTTTAAAAAATCGAGAAACTCAGTCCTGGCTTGTTTCTTCACAAAAGTTCACTAGTTCTAAAATTTGACTGTTAGGCTCACTTCGTGGAACAAATCAAACTCGGGCACAATAAGTAAGAACAGATAACTTATCAGTGAGGGTCACGTGTAGTGACATGGCGATGCGTCCTATTTGCGTGCCGGGGCTCTCTCTGGCTCAAGAATTTGGAATAATATCAGCTGTGTGATGTGATCTAATTGCTTCACTTTCATGTAGCATTAAAAGGCCGTATTGTCCATAAAATAGCGAAATTTTATCTGCTTAGCTCCTGGGTCACCCATGCTATCATCAGGAAAAACCACCGAGGATTCGCGTGCTTTCGCCGGAGGACTTTATCAGGCTTTTCGTTAAATGACAGCAATCAGACTCTCCACCTTCATATATGATCCGCATTATCGAATTTATGCTTGAAGCATAGCTCCTCTTCCTCATAGTTACATTCAATCATTACTATCACATTTTGGTGTCATTTGTCTACCTGCATGCGCCTGACTTTTTCGCACAGAATTATCTATCCATATTTTACTATCATTTTTGTTTTAACCCTCCAGATGCAATATTGAAATTGTCTTCATTTTCAAAGACCCATTCCTTGTATGTGTCAGGGTGTCAGAAAGTTTAAGATATAGATTTTAGCAGAGGCGGAGGCATTGGATACAGTGAGTCGATTAGCGTACAGGTACCAAGCTATTGTTCATAGGCGAATGCAAAGCAAGTCGCTTTCTTAACTCAGGCGTGCAAGGAAATTGGGTAGTGTCAGTATTTTATGTAAAACAAAAATGTAGTCTGTTCACAGAGTTCGTGGGTGGAATCGTATCAGACTCGCTTGCTAGAGCGCGTCGTTTCTTAACTGGAACACATAAGTACTAGTGTTCACTCTAAAACTAGTCCATATATAGTATTTTGGTTCGTGACCCAAGGTTTATTTTCCACATAGAACGGTGAAAGTAGTCAATTTTAATCACTTTTTTATTTCAGTAAGCAAGCTTCGGCTCTCGGATTCTGTAGTTACTTTGTCAAAAACGCTCGGGTTTTAACATAAACTGTTAGTCCTCGATGGACATAATCAAGTTCCTTTTTTCATAATAGTGAGTTCATAACCAGTCATGATGTATCTTTTGATTGCGGTGTCTCGTTTCCAGCTGTCTACCGATTTTATTAACTGGGCAATGCAACCCTGAGCCGTCTGGACGATAGCATTACAACTGGGATAGTCAAATTCGTATTTACTGCCCGATTGTGCGCATCCATCGTGAGCACCGTTGGATGCCCAAAATGTCAGCCCAATTAGGATACGGGGTTACTTAGATGCCTCCAATAATTATTAAGTTCAGTTCACAAATATTTGATGCGAATAACGTAAGCATACCAAGTGTTTACATAGCAAATCCCCTTTTCCATGCCATTATCCATGGCCAGGTGGTTTGACTCAATTCCACTTCGAGGGAATTGACAAACCCGTTTGACCTGGAGCCCCTGGGATTTTAGAACATATTCTTGCAGCCAATTTCCAAGCAAGTGAGTTCGAAAGTAATTCAATTCCCTCATTGTTGCTTTGCACTAATTCTAAACTAAATGAGAACTAACAGAGGGCTTCAACTTCAACAATTTTGCGTTATGTCCCGTGCCGCAAGATGACCACATAAAAAATTTATTCTGACATAATAAAAGGTAGTTACAAAAAAATGATACCTCTAAAACAGAACCTAATAGTACTGTAATAATAAATCAACGTTTAGCGCATAAGAAATCATTCGGGCGGAAAGAGGAGAGAGGAAAACGTGTTAATTAGGCCGACATGGTAAAAATCCACATATATTCATGGCCACCCTGCTACCAACCTGTAACTACGATGAATAGTGAGTGACAAACTCCAGCGCTTAGAAAGCGTGCATCCATATATTAGGGCAACTTCAATTTACGGAATGAGCGCTATGCGGTGCCAGATTAATTGGCACCCGAGTGCATTTGTTGGTGTTCTATTCTCCTCCATTCACTGGTGGTGCAGTATTGTTCAGTCGTGTTGAGCGATTTGTAATGGAAATAGGAAGACTTATTGAAGGCTTTGTTTGATGGTAATAATAGAGGCAATAAACTTTACGTTAAGTTTAGGAACACCGGAATACGTCACTGTTAACGAACTTATGAGTTCTTGGTTTCATTTTGGTCGTCCCCAATTACGTCCTGAATGACATTTCGTCAACGCAATATCCATTTAGGCGAATTCAATAGGGGTCGTGCGGGATTAAATTCCACATATTTCAGGAAGTTTAGTGATTGATATCATTGTTGTAGGAATTAATCTCTATTGTTTAGAAACCAAATCCACCAATTGCTCGTTATGACACTAAAACAAGAATACATCCTCGCATTCGTTTCTATCCAAGCTCTAAAACTAGAACATGACGTATCTGCCCACGTAGCTAGCGTGCTTTGTAATATTTTAATCATTTTTTACTTCCTGAGCTACATTAATTAAACTTTCGAGAAATACCTTTCCCCAGCCACAGTCAAGGATTCAGATTATGCTTCTAACAGGAACCTTTCGAGTCGCATATTTCTGTGCCTTCAGTATTAAACAATTTTCTTGTTAGTTGAGTCATCAGTGGCAATTTAATCCTCCGTACGTGTCTAAGATGTTTTAAATTAACTTTGAACTGGAAACCAATTTGTGGTTGTTACTTTAAACAATTTCCTGAACGATAAGCAGAAGTCCTCTGCTAACCATGAAGCAGGAAGCCCACACGTGAATTCGTTTAAACATTGCTTAAGCCAAACCGAATACGTGCACTTTTACACATCACCGGTGATCGAAACAAAGTGAACTGCTTTTCAAATAAATATTTACGTGTCTAAATCATTCCACATTAGAAGAACTACTAAGGTCATTGCTTTAAAGACTAATGTGAGAAAATAATTTTATGCCAACATTAGTAGTGAATACAATTTTTTGGTACCGACTACACACAATAAGGTGAATTTTGCCCACGATTAGATTCTTCCAGTTTTGTGTGGTTTGCCGTTAACCTACTAGTAAATCAGGCATAGAAAGCGTTGGTTAGTCCAGTGGATTCAGTACATATGGGTGTTAATAATAGTCAGGTGCGTGAAATTCTTAAATGACAGAAAAAGAAAAGGAAATTATTCAGCATCATGACATGTTACCGGATTATCCGAGCGTGTCATTGCTGATGACAGCAATAATCTCGATATATTCCGGGTAGGTGATTGTTTATGACTTCAGGAACCCATCGATCACTGGAGGCGAAGGAGATAATTATTAACGCCAAGCGTTTTGTAGTATAATTAATGAAACTTAAAAATTATCGACCACTTTCTCAAAGCTGCAACGGTAAGTATTTATTTGAGGTAATTTTACACTTAAATGTGGCTTTCAAGAACATGGGCTTGAATGCATTAGGATGGATACTAGTTTGGTCCCCACGAAGGACTAGGAATAGTGTGCTGTGTAAACAAGTTCACAAGACTCCGAAACATGAGAGAAACTAAGTCGATCTTTGCCCTTTCCCGTTGTACTTAATATGCTCCAATTCCATGACACACAAGACTCTTCTCCTAGGAAGCGATACCTCACGGGAGAGAGCGGTTAAATGCAAATGATGTACAATTGTTGACAAAATGTAGGCAGCATAAGTCGATTTTGATGCATGGAATTTTACCTCATAAGGAGGCCATACTAAAATGAATTTCAGTATCTATGAGTGTTTACCTAAAGAAATGTTTCCCCTCCGTGGAAAAACGGGTAAATTAAAGTGGTGAGTTGTCTCTGCTTTATTCAAATATCCTAATAATGAGGGTTCACCCGCTACGTCACTTCACTAATGTAGCAGACATTGCTCCTGACAATTTGCCCGTCACTTATTTGACATTATAGTTTACAGGTTTTGGGAAAATTCAGAAATGGTATTGTTGGGAAGGATTCATTCGAGAACACGTTATGGTTTGGTAGGATACAATCACGAGACACTATTCCGTCTTAGGAAATTAAAAACTTAGCACCTAGTAAGGTTAGTCTGAGTGCTTACAAAGGCCACTAGCACCATGGTTTATTTGATATTATTTGAATTTATTCCCCTTCAAAATTATAGTAATGCGAAATCGCTCATATTCGTAAGTAATTATTGAGTTTACTAGGAGAATCTGTGTTAGTTTCTTCTTGAAAAATGATAAATGAAAGTGGCCTAGCTTGCGTACTGTCATGAAAGGGCCGATCCATTTAAGTTGAACGTCCTTGGGCGCAAATTCTCACCCCCGACGACCGCAAACAACATGATTATAAACTCGATTTGTGTACTCGGACTGAACCATTTCACCACTACTAAGTAAGCGTACGTATTAATAGAATGTGACCAATTTGAAGCCGACCTTAATTGGAAGCATTAATTTTATGTGTAGTGGTGGGTGCAAGAACCGTTTGAACGCCAATCAGATTATATTTTGCAAATAAATGTATAAGTAGACTTGGCAGTACTAAATAGACACGCAAGAAATTAGATAAAATTACGCATCTCGCAGCCTAGTTACGCGAAGACAAAATTGTTTTTTAAATGTGACACTACTAAAAGGAAAAGGATGAAACTGGAATTAAAATGCATGCAGCATCATCTGCCAATAAAAAAGCAAAGCAACAAAACCAATGTCAAATATTAATCATAGCAAAAGCAGCTTTTGGGACTTGCAGGTGCGCAGTGGTAGCTGCCGTGCTTGAATGTGTCACGCTGTTTATTGATCAATACACTCGGCAGCACTGGTTCGAAACCCATTAACAAACATGGTTGTGTGCGAAGCGGACAGACCAAAAGAGCCGAGATTTCCAATTTACCTTCCCCAAGAAAAACTGGATGCCTTGCAGCAGACAGCCAACGCACTCGTCATCTGCGGGAAAGGAATCCTCTCAACCGATGAAAACCCTGCCACTCTGGGGATTCGATTCTCAAAAATGGGCATCGAAAATACGCCTGAGAACCGTCGAAGATATAGGGAGATACTATTGTCTACTGACTGTTCAATTAAGAAATACATCTCTGGAATCATCTTACACCCAGAGACTCTGGAACAAACCACATCAGATGGGAGGCCTATGATTTCTTTAATAACTGTAAGCTCGGGTTTATTAACAGCAAATCAGTTCAAAATACGTTATTGAAGGCTTTTTCAACCGATGGAAAAATAATGTCATTTTACTATAATTTAACCCATACGAAAATTGCATTAAGACACCGAGTGAGCCCTGTTGGTCTAATAGAAAGCTCTGATTTTATCGACTCAGACATACTTCATAAAACTGAACTACAAGCTCGAAAAGTTGCTCTGTATTTGGAAGCACGTAAATAAGTGTCAGATATGTGGTATGCATTCGTAGGTTGTGTTATCCACCATTCCAGCATAACAAATCAGGACATAATTCCCTGGTCAGCTTGAATAGCTTAACAACATTTTATGAAAGCAATGCTTGAGCATTGTCCAGTCTTTGGTTCGTTTAATGCCACAGGCCGATATCACAGGCCTTTTAATTCACACTTCAGTATGCGCAGCAAAGTACGGAGTGGGGTTGTGCAAAAACTCCCGGTTGCAAAGAAATCGTGGGTCACGCAAACTAATAAAAGTTGAACAATTTTCCCGACGATAATGTCGCAAGTACTCGATTTTAGAATAAAGACATGAGTTTTTGCCTGGCTTTCGGGCTTTCATTTAATATATAAGGCCTTAAAAAGCGCCGAAAGTGTGGCAAGAGCAAATTCCAACGCCACAAGCTTTTAACTATCTCAAGCAGCTTTTAGAGTCAGTTAAACAGGTTAAATAGGATAAATGCTTTCACGAGGGAATATCAGTTCACGGCTAGAAAAATGTTTCTCAAGCCAAGTGAATCCTTACGTATACCGATAAGGCAAAATGCATATCACACGCACTCTAGATCCGTGTGCATACATTTGTTCCATCCACGTTAAAGGTATTTTGACGAGGTGCATGAGCTGAGTTTTGAGCAAGGTGAAGGATAGTGATATTGTAAGATGCTAACTTGCAAACTGTCACCATCAGGACGGGGAACAGGCAAAGTATAATAGAATGGAAAATTATCTGCACTTAAATGTATGCATAACTTCTACTTGAAAACGGTTTTTGTACACTTCTTGTGTTTTGTCAACGAAAATGTTGACTGCCGGGTATTGTCCCCCTAGAATCGTCACATCATCCCCGGTGTAAAGGTGAACAAGGACTTTGTTGAGTTGCCAGGCACTTTTGACGAATGCACTACTCAGGGTCTAGACGATTTGGCAAGAAGGTGTGAAGATTACCGTCAATGGGGATGCAGGTTTGCGAAGTGGCGCTGTGTCTTCAAAATCTCCGCTCCGACGCCCTCCCGTCTCGCGCTCAAAGAGGTCGCCAATGTACTCGCAAGATATGCTGTCGTCAGTCAAGTGGTTAGTGATTCCTTATACTAAAGATTACGACTTAAGTGCAGACAGTTGAAGCACTGGACCTCCGTCATTCATAGCGGAATAAGTTGGTGCTCTTTAAAAAGCATGGTTGACCCAACTTATTATCATGACATTGTTGATTATACTTATGACAGATATGACAGAGAGCATAGTTATATTAACATATTTTGCTTTTGTTTAATGATAAAATATGTGGGTCGGCAACTCTTATTAGCCAGAGAACTGCGAGTCATATTTCTGTGCAAGTAAACTCACAAAGGTTCGCAACCGGTTGAATTTGGTTTCGTAAATTGGGCTTACCAATCAGACGTCAAAAAAGAAACTTGTAATTAAAAGAGGAAACGAAGACGTTCTGCATTATTTCTCCTTATTTTCTATAAAGATACCAAAACTCAACCTAATTTCATGAGGTGAATATGCCCCAAAATTAAAGCAGTGTCAAATTTAACAGGTTAAATTTAGTTTAGGGGACTCAGATATTAGTGATATCCACATCTGGTAAAGAAACTAGTGGCAAGAAGTAAATAACTCGAATCAGTTTTCAGCGACTCGACTCGCCAATTGCGGTTGGTGTGCTGAACACATTGATATCAAGTTAAACCAGTTTAAAGTGGGTGCTTTGAAAAACAATCCTTTTTCTGAAATGAACGTGAATAAATCTAATTGAAAGAGAATCCACTGTTCAATTGCTTTGGACGTTCGACGGTGTCTACAGGATTAATAGATCTGTAATTTCATTAAAAATAAATGCTTTCGACTTCAAGCGGCTAAACCTAAGATTTTTAAGAGATGGAAAAAACCGTCCACTGAGACCCACACACATTGGAACATCTCTTTCACGCTCGATCTGAGGCAGTGGGGGGTGTTTGGCGAGGTGTTACATGATGATAAGTGTAGTTTTTGCTTATTTCGACATCTTGTGTTGTCTCAGTAAGTGAAAAGACGAACGTTTTGTGCCCGTGAGCATCGGAAAGACTGGCTGATACTTGTAGACAAACAGTGGGATTCAAGGGCTAGTCTTTTACTAAATAAACAAACCTCAGATTTCTTAAACAAGAACACTTTGCTACCCGGGCAAGCGAAAAACGACCACTGTAAAAGTTAGAAGAATTATGAATTAACAGAAACCCAAATCCCTTATTACTATCCTCTATGAACGATATAAACGCGATTTGCAACCGTATTAAATAGGCCGGATTGGTTCCGCTGATAGAACCAGAGGTAGTCGCGGAGGGGAATCACAAGTTGGTGATGGCACAACACGTCTACCAAGAAGTCCTATCGCACGTCTTCAAGGCGCTCCAGGACCATCACGTCTTCCTTGAAGGCATCTTGCTGGAGACCAATTTTTTACGCTCTGGACACACCAACTGTTACCAATCCACAGTTCAGGAAAATGCAGAGACCTCTCTTGAAGTACTTCAACGAACTGTTCCTCCAGCAGTCCCCGGTAAGCTGCCAATCTTAAAAATTGATGGTTTGTGTGTAAACAAGGTGGTGGGACCGCAAAGGACAAATTAAGCACTTTAAAGCTCCCGGAGTAGTACGGTTTAGAAGCCATAAAATACATAATACAGACAAAGCAAGGCTGCCTCGAAGGATAAAATGAAAATGGAGGATTAGTTAGTTGAGGGATTGCACGCCGTTTTTCCACATACTTTTATCAGGAGTGCATTCAGTTCCCACTCTCTTGGCCATCACCACGATGGTCATAATTTATTAGATGCATGGGTTAATTTTTACAGAATTATAGCATATTTATTCAATATAAAAAATAGAGGACACATAACTTAATTTTCGAATATTGTCCACCGGTTTCTATGACTTTCGGACATCTCTTCCGTAACATACAAATGCTGTCGCGAAACAAACTTGCAGGC